CACAATGGACATCCCCTAGAGTCTGGGTTGATCTTTCGTTATGACTGTTGACGTTGTTGTGCCTAGAGTATTTGCACCTTTTAGTTACAGGCAGTCCCGGCGCTATTACTTACTCAAAATGCATTGAGTGGGTTAATGGGGAGCACCAAAGACTAGAGTCTGGTGCTTGGACGCAGGTGCTATAGGAACTCCAATCTTGCAGTACACAGAGCATGCTACCAGACACGCAGAAAGGACTGCTGTACCACGGCCGTTGCGGCAACGCCCCACCGTGGCAACCGCTACAGTCATCATTTATTTATGGGTAGCACAGCCTTGCCAAACTCACCGATGGCAGGATATTTTTGGCAGGTGAGTAAAATATTAGAGCTTGGGGTTTTTTAATCATTGTTGGAATGGGTGAACAAGGAGGTTATGTGTCTGGGCTGGTAAATGCCCATAGCAGTATGGCAAAGCAGATTTGGCACTAAAAGCGTGCAGGGCATTTCTTGGACACATACGAAGATAAGATCCTTGCACAGATATGCATACAATCTATATAGAGAAAGACACGGGGAATGGATGGAGTACACAAGCAGACAGAGTGAGTGGTAATATAAGGGTTTTGTTTAGAAGGTAATGTAATCCGAGTAACCTCTCTCCTTCCTTCTGTTTTTTTTTCCAATCCCATCCTCCACTTTCCGTTGCTTCAGTCCAGTTAGATTCCCCTGAATGGTTCCCCATGTCAATAATCTTTCCTCTCCCCATGTCCTTATAGATGTAGTGTTTAGGTGTCACACAGTTGTATCATGCACTTAAGTAGGGGTGGGAGAGGGATAGAGATAAAGAAACAGGTAATCCTGTAGTCATAAGTGTACATAGGATCCCAGCTCCTGAGTGAGGGCCAGACAGTTGGCAGTTTGGTATAAGTGTCCCAATGAAGGTTCTGATGTAATTGAGCAAAGAGGCAGTATTCCTGAACACATTTTGTATAACGGAAGAGCTCCAGATTCTCTCAGCTACCGTTCTTCTGCTAGTCTGACCATGGAGACCTCTCTGGGTGGGTGGCTTACTCAGCAGATATTTTCACTGTAGACTGGCCAAGAAGAAATCCTGCCTTCTTTCCTATTGATGTCTCATATCCTCCACAAGCTCGAGAAAGGGAACAATAAAGTGATTCTCCGAGCCCCAAGATGGCTCAGGAAACACTGGTTTGCCATCCCAAATCAGCCAGCATCAGATTGATTCTTGTGTCTGAGCAGAAGCGACAGCTGCTCCTCCCAAATGAAGGGATCTGGCTGTGTCCTTTTGGAGCATCATAAAGGAACCTGAAAACAGGGCCAAACCTGTATAAGAGACAGTGTCAGGTCAAACATAAGCAAAAGAGGAGGACATTACCCTTCCCCTGCCAGGGTCCTTGTATCAGTTAGACACGCAGGGTAATTCAACATAACTACAGTCTCTTAGAACTTGGTTCTGACCCTCCTTCATGGGTCTGCCCCGTAGCTGTTCCAAATCAAAGAAAAGGTGGGAGTCACATACCCATAGGTTTCAAAGGAGAACCAGCACTTCAACCCGTCTCCTCCACTGGGGGAGAAGACCAGGCTTATTCCTCCCCTCCCCCTGGCTTATTTCCCAGGATGCCATCCCCCAGCCCGGAACTACTTTCCCCAGCAAGCCTGCTCCCTGGGATCCCGGAGAGGGCCAGCGGGAACTGCCCTGGGCCAGCCTTGTCCCTCACCAGGGAGAGCAGATGGGGAGGGAGATCCTACTCATGGAACAACGGTCTCTCTCCTAAAAGCAGAGGCAGCAGCACAGTTTTCTTCCTGCGCAATGCCCCCAAACTGCCCCCCCCCCAAACCACTGCCTTTCTTTCCATGGCATCTACCCCCCGGGGAAGTTTAAGAAACAAAACCTGGCGTGTGGGGTAGTGCTGGTCTAGGAGCATTTCCTCACAAGTCTAAGGGCTGGCATACCCGGTTATGGAAACTTCCGGTCTTAAGAGACCACCAAGAAATAACCACACCAAGAACGCACTGAGTGCAGATTTTCTGCATCTTTACTAGAAACACCTTGAGTGATTGCTGAAGACAAGTTTCACTGTCTCTGAAATCTCTACAGCTAATAATGACAGGACTCCAGGCTTGCATGTAACTTGACTCCAAACACAATCTGCATGCATGAAAGTGGAAAAGATTTGCTCTCTATTGTCTCAGGAAGGAGTGCATCCTTGCATCACACCCATTATCTACAGACTGCGGGGTATTTTTAGATCCCTCTGAGAGGATTCTTCCATTCAGGTAGTCAGCCTGGTACACCATGCTGCCATTTAGCTGCTATTCCTGCTTTTTGCAGAGGAAAAGCTCAGAAAGGGGTGAGTCACCATTAGACAGTAATTAACTTGATAGGAGCAGCAAAGAAACCAAGACCACAGAAGAAAATGATATCAGCCACATGGGACTTAAGTACAGTACTCAAGGCTCTTGCAAAATATCCATCTGAGCCTCTTAAGAACTGTGAGATGAGAATAGTCATGGAAATAACCTTCTTATTAGCCATTACATCAGCCAGATGAGTTAGAGTATTACAGGCATTAACATTAGATCCACCATTCTTCAGTTTGTAGACTCTACTGCACCACAGTCATCATTTACCTCCTTACCAAAACTCATTCTGCTGCATTAACCAGAAAATTAAACTCCAGACACGTGCGTCCCAAATCCTCAGATTCCAACTTTATGAAACGTTTATTACAAAAGAGATCCTGGGGAGGCATTTCGTTATTATATCAGTACGCCGGCTGCCCGCAGCAAATCCAGCAGACTGTCGCTTTCATTACAGTGAAGCGGCACAGGAAACTGTGTAAACATCTCCTTTGTCATAAAGGAATAAAAGTGAGACCTTTGCCTTTCCCCTGTCTGTGCAGGCTATCAAGGGAATCAGTTTTCTGAGCAGAATTTGGCAGAGCAGATTCAGGATGTGTGGTATAGCCTGGTGGTAACCCTGCTTAAAAAGAAAAAAAAGCCCTCTAAAATCATAAACTGCCTATTTGTTTTCCATTATTCCAGTTTTGCTTAGTCACCCGCCTTTATTACAGGCAGGGCTAGTAGGGCTGCTTAGTTAGGTTGCCTGTTAATTCCCATTATGAGACCCTGTTTTCAGTTGCTTAAAAAACTTTGCCAAACTTGAACTCTTTGGGCTGAAATTTGCTATGCCAGGTGTCTACTTAGGGGTGAATAACTCTGGAAAAATGTAGCCGAAACAGTTCAGCCATTTCCAAGAACAAAGCTAGGGAAAAAATGTGTTTTGCCCTTGTTAAAAAATTCTGGCAACCTTTCTTTGAGACACTGGACTGAATGAGGCAGGGGTCCTGTGAAAAAACATGGTATGTGATCTTATCAAAGACTGTATCATAATGCACACGCACAAGGGGTACAATGAAAGTTGCACAGGCAATTCTGACATTTCCTAACTTCACTTCCCTGACTTGCACTGTTTGGCAACTGACGTTTTGTGGTGGGGGGGAAAAGGGCTAAGTTACTTCTTCCCATTATAAGTATTGCTTTCCCCCTATTTGGTGCCTTTTCATGTTTTGAGCTTCTTGCATACCAGTCATGTTATTGCCCTGCTACATGAATGGAAGTGAAAGGACTCCTGGAATGTATAGCAGAGTTCAGGATCAAGCAGCTTTGTATAAAAAGCCCTTTTCTTAGCTAAATCTATTCCAGTTTCAACAGGTACATGGCACCTGCTGTGTTCGTCTGAGGGAGCCTCTTTAGGTATGGGAAAGAAACCACCTGGGTTCTTTTCACTTGTAACAAAACAGCTGTAGGTGAGGAGTGAATATTTTCGTTTGGTAATGAAAACAGTGAAAGCTAATTTCATGAGTGTAAACGTTAGGATCCAAATGCCTCTTTCCAGATCTGACTTCTTTATGTATTAACTCGCTAGTAAATACCAGGGAAGCTAATACTGAAAGTTGATGTTTTGCAATCTGAATTAGTAGGGGCATAAAAAGTCCCAATTCTGCAATCAAGTCCATGAAGGTCCAGGGGTCTGTCCACACATATCTGATCACAGGATCGGGGCATTAGATTGGAAGAGATCATGTCTTCCTTTGTGTTTGTTCAGCACCTAGCACTCGGGCTGGCCCTGGATGGGCAGGGAGAGGGGGTCCTTTGGGGGGGGGCCTCAAGCCGGCCATGTGTGGTGTCCCGTTTTCCCTCTGGGAAAATATGGTCACCCTAATAATGGGCCTATGATCCTGACCAGGGCTTCTAGGAATTGATGTAGTGCAAATGATCTGATAGCTGAGAGGGACCATCTTGGTGCACTTTTAGAGTGATTTTGATCTAGATTACAGTGGTTGCTTTTTAATTTTGTTGTTCTGCTTCAAGCAATGTGCTTATTAGCAGATCTGCGTAATGAAGCATTTTATCTAAAATGATCCCTAGAAATAGAGTCTGACTCAGCACGGATGAGGCTCTGTAGCTATGCATATTTGATTCGGTCCAAGGGTAACGGACACCTGTGGTTGGGGCTCTGTGTACTTTTAAATGTCCAGTTGAAAATGCCCTCCCCTTATCTCCTTCAGTAGACTGGGTGGGAGAGACGAATACAGGCATTTTAGCCAAGACATTACACGTCACCCTTGAAACAAGAGGCTGAATTGAAGATAATTATGTAAGAGGAATAGTAAGAGACAGGACTTCAAAAAGTAAAGTTGATTTTCTTAGGCCTTCTTGTATCATTGTGTTGAAACAGAACTTACTGAGATCACTGCAAAGTTCTTTGGTGGCACAATTTGGCTCATTGTCATGTAGAATGACACTGAACTTACTATTAAAGTGACATGTTTTAAAATTAAGATCTTTCACTTTATTTTTACAAGCCACTGCACCAAGAGAAGTGTGTGGTGATTCTCTCCTCCCCCCCCCCCCCCGCCCCCCAAGTAGATCCTCTTTATAGCCAACATCCAAACACTGCAGGGGATTGTAATCTGAACATTGCATCACACTGCCAGTGCATAGGAACTTCAGTTATACTAATTAAAATCTACAGACAAAAATGAAACTGACTAGCCTATTTTCATTATCCAAGATGAGTGGGAAAAGGCCTGGTCTTTTGGTTAATGAACTCGATTTGGACTCGAGAGACCTGGATCCCTTTCCTGATTCTACCACAGATACCCTGCATGACCTTGGTCAAGTCATTTTATCTCTGTGCTTTCGCCTGTCAAATGGGGATAACAATACTTAGTTTCTCTCACTCTTTGCTGTCTGATCTATTTGGACTGTAAACTCTTTGCATCAGGGAGCGTCACCTACTATGTGTTTGTGAAGTGCCTAGCCCAATGGGGCCCCCAGGCTCTGTGGCTACTGGTACAAATAAAAACTGAAATGCAATAAGTTCACAGCAGAAAGGGACAGACAAATCAGCTTTTCAAGTTATTCATATCTAACGATCTAAAGAGTCATTAATAGCATAGCTAGAGGAGGAGTTGAGTTGGCTTTTGGTAACAAAAGAGTGGGAGTTGCTTCACAGTTTAGCTTGCCACAACAAGCCTGATTTTTAATCCCTCCCCACCTTGTAACTTCCTCAATAAGAAACTGGTCTTCCTGAAATTTCACGTCATATCTCACCCCAAGGTAGCATTGTTTTCTGGCAAGTGTGGTGACAATTGACAAAGGAGTTTTCAAGTTAGTGTTCTGAACATGTATCTATTTCCCTTTTTCAAGCTCATCTTGGCTTTCTCTGGCTCTGGATATCTGCCGGGTGAGGCTAGCCTAGAAACCGCCTGTTGGTTTTGTTTGTGCTGACCTTGGCTACCTATTTGGAGGGCAGAGTTAGTGGAGTGGTTTAAAAAAGGTGCAAGCCGTCCATGCCTCAAAAGCAGCATTGATGCTGTCAGTATAATAAAGGTTTGTGAAACAGAAACAGACTTGCTGCTGACTTGCAGGGCAAGGTGAGGGGCAAGGATTGCTGGGGGTGGTGGTGGTGGAGAAGAGTAAGTGATACCGGGTACTCCCCGTGGGAGTCTGGGAGTGGTGTATGGAGAGGGGGACAGGAGAGGTTGGCCTGGAGCCATGCTCTAGGGGCATAGAACAGGGGGGCTGTGGGCAGGCAGGATGCTAGAGGAAGTGGGGGCAGGATGCTGATAGGACACAGAGGAGTATGCAGGGAATCCCAAGGGCCAACAGGATCATGGAGAGAAGGGAGAGAGCATGGAGTAGATTGGACACAGGTGCAGTGGACCAGAAGAGGAATGAAGGGGGATGGAGGAGAATAGAGAAGACACGGCTAGTGGTGTATAGGGGACAAAGGGGAGTCATTGTGCAGAGGTGGACTGTACCGGGGTTGATGGGGCAATAGAAGAGAGGGCATGGAAGGAGGTGCAGGATACTGGGAAGCACAGGAGTCATGGAAAGCCCAGGAGAACACGCAGAAGGGATGATGGAAGGAGAGCATGGGTGGAGGTATACAGGGGAACGATGGGTGTGTGTTCAGGGGAGATATGGAAGTTACAAAAATCCCAATTGCTATTCAAAGAATCCGTTCCTAGTCATGTCGTTTGTCTGAGATTTAGAACTTCTCAGAGAAATGTGCTTACCAGGAGATCTAAGAGAGATTGCCTCCCGTCCCGCCAGTATTTAAACACAAACTGTTGTTAGATGTGCTATTGAGGTAGGGTGGGATCCACGAAGGGACTTAGATGTGCAATGCTGAGTGTCACGGCACCTAAACTTGTAGGCATGTACAAAATAGAAGGAACAACACTGCAATCCACAAAGCCGAGCTAGGCACCTAGGCTCCTAGACAATGGATTGGGGGCGGGGAGAGAAGTGCCTTAGAATGTGATCCACAAAAGCCAGCGCATTAGGTGCCAAGCTGCCTAAACTAACCAATGGAAGATGCTGACCATTCCAGGTGAGTGCTCTAGCTAGTGGGCTAAGAGTTTATGGTGGGCTCCTCTTCCCTACTCCCTATGTTGAATGGGACTTGATAGGGCCCTGCGCATGACTTAGGTGGCCGAGCATCTGTCTTATCACAGTTCGTGAATTGCTCTAGGGCAGTGGTCTCCAACCTTTTAAAGCACAAAATCACTTTTTGAATTTAAGTGCAACCCAGGATCTACCCCACCCCTTCCCCAAGGCTCTGCCCCTTCCCTGAGGCCCCATCCAGCTCACTCCATCCCTCCACCCTCACCCCCGTCGCTCGCTCTCCCCCACCCTCACTCACTTTCACCGGGCTGGAGCAGGGGGTTGGGGTGCAGGAGGGTGTTCGGGGTGCTGGCTCTGAGAGGGGGCTCAGGGCTGGAGCAGGGGATGAGAGGTGTGGGCTCCCGCTGGGCAGAGCTTACCTCTGTCAGCGGGGCTAAGGCAAGCTCCCTGCCTGCCCCAGCCCCGCGCTGCTCCCAGAAGCGACCAGCAGCACATCCCTGCAGTCCCTGAGGGGGAGGGGGCACGTGGCTCCGCACACTGCCCCTCCTTGAAGGCACTGCCCCCACAGCTTCCATTGGCTGCAGTTCCCCGTTCCCGGCCAGTAGGAGCTGCGGGGGTGGGACTTGCAGGCAGAAGCAGCACACGGAGACCCCCCTCTGTAGGGGCCGCAGGACGTGCTGCTGGCTGCTTCCGGGAGCAGCACGAGGCCAGGGCAGACAGGGAGCCTGCCTTAGCCCTGCTGCACCACCGGAGTTTTGGCGGACGGAGACTGCGATCGACTGGCAGAGGCTCCATGATTGACCAGTCGATCGCGATCTACCCATTGGTGACCACTGCTCTAGGGCTTAGGCAGGAGATAGGTGTCTGGATGCCTAACTGGAGGCAGCAGTGTGCATGCCCATAGGCAGAAATCTAGACTCCTAGGGAATGTTTACTCTGGAAAAACTTAGGCACCAAGTGAGTTCAGGCACCTACAGGGATCAGTGAAAGTTTTGTGGATCACAGTGGAGCCAAAACTGGGAGCTGGGCACCTAAATCTGAGGCTAAGGTGCCTAAGCATCAGATTTAGGTGCCTAAATACCTTCATGGATCCCAACCATAGTGCCTAGCAGCCCCAATCGTGGACATGGGCCAGGACCCCAATGTGTAAGGTGCTGTACAAACACAGAACAAAAAGATGATCCTGGCCCCAAACAGCTTACAATCTAAGACTGAAATAGCGGGGCCCAACTCCACACTTAATTTTAGAAAATATCTTTGTTTTTAAAATATTCTGCTCTGTCTTATTTTCAAACGCTGTTTAATTCTGTGATGCTTTTATTTTTCTCTTCCTTTTGAACCCAAGTAGCGGGAGACAGAGATGCTGTTTATCCCAGAACATTGCAAATGTCCCTGTTTGTTTTGAATGGCAGTTACAGGACAGAAATGTCACTCTACAAAAAGATTATCTTCCAGCACAGTTCACCGTCCCTTTGGGAGCTCTCGGAATGCTTTTGAGGTGCTTTAGACCTATGATGAAATGAGTCCCTAGGTAACAACCATTCTGTCACCCTGAATGTTAATTTCTATTCATTTGCCTAAGAGCCAGAGAAATGTGTCTTTGTTGTAGAGTAACATTTTGTACATATATTTTATTAGGAAAAGGGGATGGTTTGGGGACTAAGGCAGCAGACTTGGCACTGACTTGGGTTCTACTCCTGGCACTGCTGTCCTACTGGGTAGCCTTGGGCAGGTCATTTAGCCTCTTAGGGCTCAGTCTCCCCATTGGTGATAAAACCCAGTGAATGCTGGGAGGCGACAATCATTAGCGTTTGTAAAGCTTAGCGAGTTGCTTGGATGGAAGGTGCTGTAGATGTGCCAAATAATGAGACCTGGGTGGTGTAAAGCCCTTCCTATGTGTGGATTTTTTTAAATGTGTGTGTTGTGGGCGGGGTACGTTTGTATTGCTTATTCAAGGTCTGGAGCTAAAAGCACTTGACTGAAATTGGAACAGGCCAGGGCTGTGTAAGCTGCATCCCATGCCTCAACCCAGACACTTTCATCGTGACCCAAGATGCCCCGTCTAGAGTCCAGCTCTCAATCTGAATAACCAGGCTGAGTTGTTTGATGCTCTTCCAAAGTACCCAACTGTGGATTCAGAGGACGCCATCGGCCTGGTGTCCACCTCCATGCAACAAGCCTGCTGTCTTTCTTATGTAGATCATAACATCGCATTCCCTGCTGCCAGTAAGGGAAATGCTGAGTCCCCTGCCCTCTGTGGGGTAGGGTGCGCTCCCAGAGCACAGCCCCTCAAGGCACAGCCTTACAGGCACCCACCCTCCGTCCCCTCCTTGCACCGCAGTTACATGATCACAGCCCACTATGTAAAGTCAAGCTCCCCTTGGTGGGGTTCAGCTTATTCCGCCTTTAGGAACTGCAGCCTGCTTTTCCAGCTTCACCCTCAATCCTGGCTCCCCCTCCAGATAGCTCTGAGCCAGGGAGCTCTGCCAGTCCTTCTGACTCTCCCTGGGGAGGCTTTGTTTTCTCCCCCTGTCCAGATTCCCAGGCTCAGACCTCCAGCTTCCCCCTGGCTAAAGAATGTCACAGCCCTCCAGCCCAGGCTGCATAGCCAGGCACACTCCAAACCCCCTGCCCTTTTTCTCCCCCCAGTCAGCAAACAGCTGTGTTTTTATCCTGTGCAGTAAGTAGCTCACTGATTACACCTGGCCCCCCCAAGTCACCAGCTTGTCTACTCCTCCCTTAAACACCAGGTTCTTAAAGGGGCCACGCCATGGACCAGGTCTGGCTGGCCCCAAGCCCCCTTGCTCCAGAGAGGGTCCAGACCACCCTGTTATGGTGTGGAAGGCCCACACGCACCACAGGGGTCAAGGCTGCTGTGGTTTTATAGCCCGGAGAGTAAGTTTGGGGCAAGGGTAGAGGCAGGCAGAGGACAGCGTTGGGGAGTGGTCAGTGGATCTTTGACTGCACGTGTCTAGAGGCCGCCACAATGGAGTCATATAGCTCCTTTGCGCCTTTAACTCATACCTACTTGGTCTGGCGCTCTATCCTCCACTAGCAGTGGCTGGTCCGCGTATAGATAGATGGATGAGCCTGCTACAGCTTTGCCGAGTAGAGGTGGGTCTCTGAGCTCACGCAATAGCAGTTCTGCTTTTACATCCAGAGGTTCTGGGTTCGATCCCTGCTGCCAATGAGCCCTGCAGGGGTGCAGCATTATACAGCCGGTTTGCAGGTTCAGGGGATTCCTTCCTCTTTGAGTCTATGGTGGGTTCCCACACAGACCCCGTTTGCAATGGCTGTGCGTGTGGCATGTAGCATTCGCCACATTACTGCGGGTTTGTTTCTATTGCACGTAGATTGAGACAGGGAGATACGGTTTTGAAAATGCTGTTTCCAGTGAACTTGTCCTTTGTGCTTTTGCCTAAAGGGATGCCAGGAGGAGACATGGCAAAACCACTCCTAGGTCGCCGGAATATGGAGAGCAATCCAGATCTCGCCCCGGCTGCTGGCCGAACCGTAGGGATCCTGGGAAGTGGAGACTTTGCACGCTCGTTGGCCACACGTCTGGTGTACTCGGGTTTCCAGGTGGTGGTCGGAAGCCGCAATCCAAAGCGCTGCGCGGGCCTCTTTCCTTCAGCAGCTGAAGTAACTGCCCAGGCAGATGCTGCAAAGAAGACGGATGTTATTTTTGTGGCAGTTTTCAGGGAACATTACTCCACGCTCTGTGACCTGACGGATGTGCTGGCTGGCAAAATACTGGTGGATGTCAGCAACAACACTGAAATTAACCATCACAAAGAATCAAATGCCGAGTACTTGGCTTCTCTTTTCCCAGCCTGCACTGTCGTCAAAGGATTTAACGTGATATCCGCATGGACCTTACAGTCAGGTCCCAGAGACGGGAATAAGCAGGTATTGTTTTCTTTTATTAAGGGCCAAATCCTACAGACCTTACTCAGGCAAAACTCACCTGGACTTCAGGATTTGGGATCTGACTGTGTTAGTTAAGTGCGTTACTTACTGAGAGAAGTGAGATCTAGTGGATGGAACACAGGATGGGGCAAGGACACCAACCAGAAATTGCTAAGATCTAATCCTAGCACTAGTGTGGAAACTGTCTGTGGCCTGGGACAAATTCATTTTAATTCTCCTCACAGAAGTAAGCTGTGTGGATCTGTTAATTTTGTAAGGTAGTGAGCAGCTGCTAAAAGCACCATGTGGCTGAGTAGCATTGCTATTTTAACGTGAGATGTACATTATTTTTTTTTTCAATCTAGGCCAAAATGGTTCTGTCAGCCAATTTTAGTAAGTAGGAAGATGACCAAAAGTACTCGAAGATTCCTAACTTCCTTATCTTCTTGGTGCCTCCTCTATCAGAGGATAATAAAGGGCTTACTTGGCTCACAGCGACGGGGTGAGGTTTAATTAGCTTTGTAAAGCGCTTTGTGATCTTAGGATAGAACGGTCCATATAAGTGCAACAAATTATTTATGTATGTATTTACTTGGACTTAAACACACATCTAAATGACTGCCTCTCCTGGGCTTCCTGCACCCTTGGCATCCATTAAAAATACAATATGACATGACTACATTGCTGTTAGGAATCTAGGCCCTTGTTAATCCAGATTCCTTCCCAAGTGTGTGTTTCCTTCGCTTCACGGCTCTGTTTGCCTGTTAATGTATCTTTTGGTTCATTGCAGGTCTTGATTTGCTGTGATAATCAAGAAGCCAAGCGTATAGTCGCTGAAATTGCTCAAGTCATGGGGTTCACCCCTGTGGACATGGGCTCCTTGTCTTCAGCCTGCGAGATCGAGAACATTCCCCTGCGCCTCCTCCCAGCTTGGAAAATCCCTGTCTTTTTGGCCCTGGGTCTCTTTCTCTGTTTCTACACCTACAACTTCATCAGACAAGTCTTACACCCTTACATCCGGGAGCAGAAAAACAAGTTCTACAAGATCCCAGTGGAGGTGGTCAATAGCACGCTGCCCTGCGTAGCCTACGTCATGCTCTCTCTCGTTTATCTACCCGGGGTCCTGGCCGCCTCTTTCCAGCTGCACTATGGCACAAAGTACAGACGCTTTCCAGACTGGCTAGACCAGTGGCTGCAGCACAGAAAGCAGATTGGTCTTCTGAGTTTCTTTTGCGCAGCCTTGCACGCCGTGTACAGCCTCTGCTTGCCCATGCGCCGATCTCATCGGTATCAGTTAATCAACGCAGCCGTCAAGCAGGTAGTACCTTCATGGCCCAGTCAGTGCATGGCATAATCTTATACATCTGCCCAAACCCTGTGGAGCAGATCTAGTATTTGAGCCATATGTTTAGCTTTCGATGTTTCCCACAGAATGAGCCCAGTCTCATGTGAGTTATTAGCTGTGCATACGCCCCATTCCCAGTGGTGACACTGGGTCACTGTGGAAGAACAGGTCAGGTTGGCTGGTGCTCTCCTGCCCAGCTGATAGCTGTACTTAGAACTCTGATCAGCCATGGTAAGTGCCATTCCCAGCAAGAGGTTCCCAGTCTCTTGTGTCACGTTAGAGAGTCGAGCTTCCCATTGCTCCTGAAAGGAATAAAGTCAGCCGAATCCGCCTCCTGTCTTCAGGGATTGCTGAGCCCTGTGTAAGGTTGGGGAAGTATTGGAGGCGGAGTGGGGGCAGAAATCCTAACCCAATGGAGGAGAGCGGGGGTTCCCCCAGGTTTTGAAAATTGCTCTCTCTCCCACTGCGTGTTACTTGCAGGATTGCAGGCTTTTAATTCTGGACACACTATTTGTGCCGTTCTATGTAATTTTGAGTTCACAAAACGTTTGTGGGGTTTTCCACTGCTTCTTTTTTAATATGTTTTCAGGTAAAGTGTAGGGGGGTAGGAGATGGGGGTGGGTGGGGAAAATCCTGCAAGTGTTACTCTGATTCTCCTTGGAGAAGCTATTGCACTAATTCCAGTGGGCAAACTCATGCTAGAGTAAACTAACTCTACTCATTGGAAATTGCTTTATTTGGGAGGTGTCTCTGGCTGTGCCGTGATCTTTGCTTTTTGGGAGGTGAGGTGCTCTCACTCTCACCTGTGCTTTACATCTGTGCCAGTCACAAATAAATGCCAGATAGGATTTCTGTGTTCACTTCCCTTACACCTCCTATTTTCTAGCAATGTCCTTGCTAAGTGAATTAAGACCATTTAATGAGATAAATGGATTGTTCTAAATGTTGACCTCTGCCATACAGTATAAATCTCATCTTGGCTTCAATTAGCTTGAACAGTTTTCCTCGTAAGTGCACTTAAAATGAATACCATTAGGAGGCCACTTTGTATTCAAGTATTCAAAGATCTGTACTTTTGCTCTTGGCTTTAAACTGACTTTTCATGTTAATTGCAGTTCTAAATGCAACTTCAGGGCTTGATCCTGAAGGTGCTGAGTACCTGAAAGTCCTCTGGAGGGTAATGGGAGTTGTAGAGACTTGACACCTCTTAACATCAGGCCGTAAATTGAGTTTAGTGGATCATGAAGGCTAACCTATCCCGTTCCTCCCACATAAAGTTCCTCCAGACGAGGCATGTTGGTAGGGCAGAGTGGGGGAGCTTCCCCTGCTTGTCCTGTATCTGTTATGTGGCTAAATGACCACGAGGTTAGATCTCTACTCCTACTGCTTCAAAAACTCAAAGCTAAAGGAGATTCTCTGCTCGCAGTAGAGAGGTCTATGACACATGCTGTTAAGCAGTTCTGATTCCATCCATGAGAAGGCAGTGCTGCAGTTATGCTAGCCAGCTCATTAAATGTACTAGTCTAATTTAATGAGAATCAAACATTTAGCCAAGATGACTGCTTTCAATGAATCAGTCAGTCAAATAATGATCTCTGGCACTAACCACTTCCTGTAGAAAAAGCTGCTTAATCTTCATTGTTGTACTAGGTCATGGAGAAGAAGACTGATGCCTGGATAGAGGAGGAGGTCTGGAGAATGGAGATTTACGTCTCTTTTGGAATAATGGCCCTAGGCCTACTGTCATTACTTGCCATAACTTCACTTCCCTCCATCGCAAACTCTCTCAACTGGCGGGAATTCAGTTTCATTCAGGTAAAGTCAATATTTGCCTTTTCCAGAGGTTAAAGGCAGGATTAGAGCCAAATCCGCCAACGGAGCACGCAGCCTGCTCCCTTGTCTGCAGGAACTGAGCGTGGGGGGCTGGGAAATGGACTCTTCACTGCAGCCAGCAGTGCCAGCGGGCAGCTGCTACAGCGGGCTGTGGAGAGAAGAACTGGGGCAGAGTCTGCTGCTCCGCCCACCACATGACGTTTTGGGCCAGTGGAGTCATGCACAGTCCCACCGCACTCCTGCCCAGTGAGTGCTTTCTGTGGCCCATAGGGGATGATGTGGAGTCTTGCCTGCATGGCCATCCTGCACGCCAGCCTGGGGAAACATTTCCACTCTGTTTGGGGCTTTGGTCTCTCGCAGAGAGGGCTGGAGGATCTAGCCTTTATTTTGAAAGGCGTCGGGTTTCTTCTTGTCCCTGTGCAATCCTGTAACGTCTCTTAGTGAGCTGCATGCTGATTAACGACAGGCTTTGTGCGCATGAGCGACTCTACTACTCATTTAATGCCTTGTCTGAAACTTTCTCCCTTTGGTTTTTCCTTTGCCACTTTAGAGCGGTTAGCTCTGATTTCCTGGCAACATTCCAGGAAAGGCTTTGCCTGCCTAAAATCCCTCCTGCCTGTTCAGTTGGATTCCCCTTCCCTTCCCAGCCTGCACCCTTGCATAATGCTGCCCTGTTAAAAAGCTCTCATAGTAGTTAGAAATGCAAAATGCCTTTTAGGTCATTTTAGTCCCTCTCCCTGCCAGGGTAGAAACGTTCCCTCCGGTTGGCTTGTTCTCCCACAGAGATGGCTGCGTTTCAGTCATGCATAATGTGATGATCGTGCGGTGTAGAGCTTGCAAAGAGCATTGGGACACGTCAGGATGAAAGGCACTATAGAAATGCAAGCGATTATGATTGCTGCAAGCAGAGATCCGTGATTGTTAGGGCTTCTAAAAGACTGATCGTTAAAGGCATTCAGCAGAGGTAGTGTGCTGGGGGCATAGGCTGGCAAGCCTGCAATGTTAACTAAAGTCTTAACTAAGGGACTTATGCCTAATATTATCCATCCTAATAACTATAGTGACAAATACATAGAGGGCTTTATGAAAGTAAAGGGGCTTAGATATAAGTCAGGATTCCCTAATGTTAAGTGCTCCTGCAAAATGCCTAATAAACAGCTAACTTGAGTCCTGCCGGCACGGAGGAGTTAACTGCAATGTCAGCATCTTAAAAATAGAAGGAGGAGTTGAGATTTGAGTCCTTTGCTTGGAGAATTGCTGATGGTACATTAAAACAAACAAAAGGAAATATTTTTTCACACAATGCACAGTCAACCTGTGGAACTCCTTGCCAGAGGATGTTGTGAAGGCCAAGACTATAACAGGGTTAAAAAAAGAATGAGATAAATTCATGGAGTATAGGTCCATCAATGGGGGCAGGGATGGTGTCCCTAGCCTCTGTTTGCCAGAAGCTGGGAATGGGCGAAGGGGGATGGATCACTTGACGATTACCTGTTCTGTTCATTCCCTCTGGGGCACCTGGCATTGGCCACAGTCGGAAGACAGGATACTGGGCTAGATGGACCTTTGGTCTGACCCAGTATGGCCGTTCTTATGTTCTTATGTAATCTGTGTAATGGCACCTTGAGCCCATGGAGATGCACACACTGGAAGCACATAAGGGAATAACGTAGCATTTCTATTACTAATGCTTGGCCCTCACATAGCGCTTTAATGAACACTGACTAATTGAGCCTCACAGCCGCACTGTCGTGAGGCAGGCAAGCATTATCCTGATTGTACAAGTCGGTTAAGGCAGGCAGCAAGGCTGTGACTTACCCAGAGCTATCCCATGAGTCAGTGATACAGCCAG